TGCAAGTGTTGGCGTGTGTGGTAATGTGGTGGGCGGCGTCTGGCAGCTGGTATTAGTTCCGTCTCCAGCACCGCCTCTAGTCTGTGCACCTTCATTTTTATTTTTTTTTTAATTTTGCCCCGAGGGGCGAGTTTATTGGGCAGCGCCACTCATGTTGTGAGTGGACACACCGCCATAGTGACAGTATTGGGCAGCGCCACTCATCTTGTGAGTGGACACACCGCCATAGTGACAGTATTGGGCAGCGCCACTCATCTTGTGAGTGGACACACCGCCATAGTGACAGTATTGGGCAGCGCCACTCATCTTGTGAGTGGACACACCGCCATAGTGACAGTATTGGGCAGCGCCACTCATCTTGTGAGTGGACACACCGCCATAGTGACAGTATTGGGCAGCGCCACTCATCCTGTGAGTGGACACACCGCCATAGTGACAGTATTGGGCAGCGCCACTCATCTTGTGAGTGGACACACCGCCATAGTGACAGTATTGGGCAGCGGCACTCATCTTGTGAGTGGACACACCGCCATAGTGACAGTATTGGGCAGCGCCAGTCATCTTGTGAGTGGACACACCGCCATAGTGACAGTATTGGGCAGCGCCACTCATCTTGTGAGTGGACACACCGCCATAGTGACAGTATTGGGCAGCGCCACTCATCTTGTGAGTGGACACACCGCCATAGTGACAGTATTGGGCAGCGCCACTCATCTTGTGAGTGGACACACCGCCATAGTGTCAGTATTGGGCAGCGCCACTCATCTTGTGAGTGGACACACCGCCATAGTGACAGTATTGGGCAGCGCCACTCATCTTGTGAGTGGACACACCGCCATAGTGACAGTATTGGGCAGCGCCACTCATCTTGTGAGTAGACACACCGCCATAGTGACAGTATTGGGCAGCGCCACTCATCCTGTGTGTGTGGACACACCGCCATAGCAGCATGTACAACACTCCCCAATAGGAAGAAATCCCGCTGGGTTGTTCATCCTGTCACTTGTACCCAGACACAGCTGGGACTTGATGTTCTTCACCGGTGGTGTCGGGTGTGCAGGAGGACAGAGCCTGGTGAAGGTATCTTTATACAACATGTTACACAATCTTATGGTTTTGTCTAAGAGGGTTTTTGGTTTTATGTCTTAAGGTTAATTTTAATTCCAGTTCTGTCAATACTGAATGCCAAAGTTCTTCCAACATCCGGGTGTTGGAGTGAGTGGGCGACGGGTCTCGCGGGTCCGGGACGTCTCCCAGCGAGAGTGATTGATTCTTTCTTATGCACCCCATACCCATCCCGTGGGCGGTGGTGGAAAAGGTTACAGAGGCACATAATGGGGTACAGGAACTGAACCCCAGAGTTCGTTTAGCTAAGCCAGTGACAATCTTGTGAAGCTAGTTATACAGTTATTAATGATATATATACACATGTTCATACATATACAAGCATTTACATATACACATCGATAATCTTTGTATATCACAAGTGATTCAACAAGAGGCTCACAACAGTCACTATACAAGGCACTTTACATCTATGGTGAGTCACACAGTTACTAGTCCACACCCACCCAACTGGGCGGCAGCTTTACACAGACTCCAGAGACGCGTATTATTCACAATTTTTTTGCCTAATAGGCCGAGTGATTTTCTTTATTTTCAAAATATTATTTCCAATTTGTTCATTTGAAATATTATTATAATATTATATTAAGAATAATAATTATTGACTTAGTTATGTTAGTTTAGATTAGGTTTAGATAGATTCTGGTTCCTCCTTTGTTTACATTTATTACAAACAAACGTGTAAATGAGTTATATATGGCCGCGTGAGTGGATGGTGTGGATGGTGAGTGGTGTATTGTGATGTATGGTGCTGCGGTCACTGTGTGCCTTCACCATCCTTGACCAGTCCTACCGAGATTTGTTGACCCCTTGAACCTGGGTGAACAGTGTTGACCCTTGACCCTAGACTAAATGTTGACCCTTGACCATAGATGACCAGCGCTCTCTTTGACCATGTATGAACAGTAGTAACCTTAACCCTGTATGAAGAGTGTTACCAATTAATATCTATAGTTACAATCACTAGTGTACAGTGTTGCCAATTAATATCTATAGGTACAATCACTAGTGTACAGTGTAGCCAATTAATATCTATAGTTACAATCACTAGTGTACAGTGTAGCCAATTAATATCTATAGTTACAATCACTAGTGTACAGTGTTACCAATTAATATCTATAGTTATAATCACTAGTGTACAGTGTTACCAATTAATATCTATAGTTACAATCACTAGTGTACAGTGTTACCAATTAATATCTATAGTTACAATCACTAGTGTACAGTGTAGCCAAGAACTGGTGGCATGTAGCAATTTGTTAGTAATGTTGCCATACTGGGCTCACCTTATTGGTCCTGGTGATCTCCATGGAGGGCCCCAAGACGTGCTTGACGACGTGCGGGCCCCTCACCTGCAGCACCTCGTGGTCGGCCCCTGTGGAGGAGAACACGGGGTCAGTAGAGTCACTGGGACGCGGGGTCAAGGTGTGGGGTCACCAGAACACTGGGTCACTAACACGGGGGTCACCAGAGCACTGGGTCACACTAACACGGGGTCAAGGTGTGGGGTCACTAGACCACTGGGTCACTAACACGGGGTCAAGGTGAGGGGTCACTAGAACACTGGGTCACTAACACGGGGGTCAAGGTGTGGGGTCACTAACACGGGGGTCAAGGTGTGGGGTCACTTGAACACTGGGTCACTAACACGGGGTCAAGGTGTGGGGTCACTAACACGGGGTCAAGGTGTGGGGTCACTAACACGGGGTCAAGGTGTGGGGTCACTAACACGGGGTCAAGGTGTGGGGTCACTAACACGGGGTCAAGGTGTGGGGGTCACTAGAACACTGGGTCACTTACACGGGGTCAAGGTGTGACCCAGAGCACTGGGGCACACTAACATGGGGTCCAGATGTGGGGTCACCAGAGCACTGGGTCACTAACACGGGGTCAAGGCGTGGGGTCACCAGAGCACTGGGTCACTAACACGGGGTCAAGGTGTGGGGTCACCAGAACACTGGGTCACTAACACGGGGGTCAAGGTGTGGGGTCACCAGAGCACTGGGTCACACTAACACGGGGGTCAAGGTGTGGGGTCACCAGAACACTGGGTCACTAACACGGGGTCAAGGCGTGGGGTCACACTAACACGGGGGTCAAGGTGTGGGGTCACCAGAACACTAGGTCACTAACACGGGATCCAGGTGTGGGGTCACCAGAATACTATGTCACTAACACGGGGTCAAGGCGTGGGGTCACCAGAGTACTGGAACACTAACACGGGGTCAAGGCGTGGGGTCACCAGAGCACTGGAACACTAACACGGGGTCAAGGCGTGGGGTCACCAGAGCACTGGGACACTAACACGGGGTCAAGGCGTGGGGTCACCAGAGCACTGGAACACTAACACGGGGTCAAGGCGTGGGGTCACCAGAGCACTGGAACACTAACACGGGGTCAAGGCGTGGGGTCACCAGAGCACTGGGACACTAACACGGGGTCAAGGTATGGGGTCACCAGACCACTGGGACACTAACACGGGGTCAAGGTGTAGGGTCACCAGAACACTGGGTCACTAACACGGGGTCAAGGTATGGGGTCACCAGACCACTGGAACACTAACACGGGGTCAAGGCGTGGGGTCACCAGAGCACTGGAACACTAACACGGGGTCAAGGCGTGGGGTCACCAGAGCACTGGGACACACCAACAGAGAGGGAGACATTACACCAGCTTCTCTGTATATATACAGAGAGTATACTCTCATCCTGTACAGTATAGACTAAAGTATACTGGCCGGTTGGTCAGTAAGCCCTTGAGTGACCTTAACAACCCCCCAGAGGTTGATAGGTGTTAAGCAAGACACACTACCAAGCCTCCAGTAAAATAATGCGGCCATAACTCAATGAAACCCCAGCCCAATCACTTGGCCTGGACGGTACAGCGACGGTCTCACTTCATGCAGGTTGGCGTTCAATCCCCGACCTTCCAAGTGGTTGGGCATCATTCCTTCCCCCCCTCCTATCCCAAATCCTTATCCTGTTCCTTTCCCAGGGCTATATAGTCATAATGGCTTGGCGCGTCTCCTGATAATTCCTTTCTTCCTTCAATGGAACCCCAAAACATCGCGTTAAATATTAACTCTACACTGACTGGTTTATACATTGGCTTTTGTCGTTGCAATCAGTTGATGGCGCCGTATAGAAACATATAATAATATTCTCAAATTTTAGCTAACTTTACAATCTGAGGTTGACAAGTACAGGAAGAGAAAGCATACACCTGATACTGTTCTTAAAGACTTCTCCATTTTGCACCCGCAAGATAACGTAAGCTTTTAAGGGTTGATAGATGTTAATCTTCTTGTTTGAGGAGCTGTTCACTTGAGACAGTTAAGCAAGTCCCAGCTGTGTCTGGGTACAAGTGACAGGATGAACAACCCAGCGGGTTTTCTTCCTATTGGGGAGTGTTGTACATGCTGCTATGGCGGTGTGTTCACTCACAAGATGAGTGGCGCTGCCCAATACTGTCACTATGGCGGTGTGTCCACTCACAAGATGAGTGGCGCTGCCCAATACTGTCACTATGGCGGTGTGTCCACTCACAAGATGAGTGACTCTGCCCAATACTGTCACTATGGCGGTGTGTCCACTCACAAGATGAGTGGCGCTGCCCAATACTGTCACTATGGCGGTGTGTCCACTCACAGGATGAGTGGCGCTGCCCAGTACTGTCACTATGGCGGTGTGTCCACTCACAAGATGAGTGACTCTGCCCAATACTGTCACTATGGCGGTGTGTCCACTCACAAGATGAGTGGCGCTGCCCAATACTGTCACTATGGCGGTGTGTCCACTCACAAGATGAGTGACTCTGCCCAATACTGTCACTATGGCGGTGTGTCCACTCACAAGATGAGTGACTCTGCCCAATACTGTCACTATGGCGGTGTGTCCACTCACAAGATGAGTGGCGCTGCCCAATACTGTCACTATGGCGGTGTGTCCACTCACAGGATGAGTGACGCTGCCCAATAAACTAGCCCCTCGGGGCAAAATTTAAAAAAAAAATTACCTTCCCTCTCCTTGTTCACAGACTCAGGCAACACTTTACGTCGCAATTCAGTCGGAATTTCTAAATGCAACAAATTCACACCCAAGAAACTCCTGTGGGTATGTGTGTGTATATGAATTGTAAAGCTATACCATGAACCTTCAATACCCAATACTTTATTCAATATACTTTTTTAGTGTTATTATAAATGTGTTAAACGTATATTGTCTTAAGATATTACTCATTGTTACTTATCATAAAATCACATTTAAGTAACTGATGTGATACAATCATATGAGCATCATAATTGTATCTGTCTTGTTATATCAATATTGTATTAGCTAAAGATGTGAAAATATTTCCCTACTATGTGTTTTTCATCCAATATTGTGCTAGTTTATGCTGTATTAGTTTTTATCTCTTTATCGGTCTTAAAAAGAACTTAGAATACTATAATAATGTTGAGTGTTTTTGTGAGAATCATAACAATGCTGTTATGGCTCAGTGTTGTATTATAGTTCCAGCAGCACCTTCCAGGTGTGTGCTGGCACACCCTCCAGGTGTGTGCTGGCACACCCTCCAGGTGTGTGCTGGCACACCCTCCAGGTGTGTGCTGGCACACCCTCCAGGTGTGTGCTGGCACACCCTCCAGGTGTGTGCCTGCAACTACTACTACTGTGAACATATATGATAGTCTGCCCTACCAAGCAGTGCTCACAGTGCTTTAGTACGGGCTCACCATAGCCCGTGCTACATGGACACTTTGTTCTGAGTAGCTAAATCTAAACCAACAAGAGCCAAGCATTGAGGGTGACGTACCTGGTACTGAGGTAACGATGGGTAGCGTCACCACGAGGGCCGCCACCGCCGCCCTCAGCCAGACCCCTCCCGCCATCTTCAGTCACCACTGCACCACACTTTTCACACTCGGTCAATACAACTTTTTCTGTCACTTGTATTTGCGAGTATTTACGTAAAGTCGTTCTAATGGTCGAGTTGTGACACTTTGAGGGAGAGAGGGGGTTGTTGGGCGTGTCTGGAGGCGGTTGTGAGACGGGGTTGTGTGTGTGGGCCTCGGCTGGCTGACCCGGAGTGAGGGGAGACTCTGGGACCTCTGTTATTTATACACAAGAGGCGCGTCACTTCTAAGAAAGTTTAGCCTAGCTTACCGGATGAACCTCTGCCCCCCCCACCCCGCCCCCAACCCATACACACACACACCACCACCATGTGTGTGTGCCCCACACACCCCGCCCCCAACCCATACACACACACACCACCACCATGTGTGTGTGCCCCACACACCCCGCCCCCAACCCATACACACACACACACACACACACACACACACACACATGGTGGTGGTGGTGTGTGTGTGTGTGTCTGCCTCCACCACATCACCTCACATGCTGATGTGGTGGAGGCCGACTCCATATACGGTTTAAAATATAGATATGATAGAGCCCAGTAGGATCAGGAATCTGTCAGGAATCTCAACCGTCAGTTGATTGACGGTTGAGAGGCGGGACCAAAGAGCCAGAGCTCAACCCCCGCAAGCACAAATACGTGAGTACACACACACATATATTTGTAGTTAACAAATGGAATGCTTAGGAAGTGACGTGGTGGAGGCAGACTCTATACACAGTTTCAAGTGTAGATATGATACAGCCCAGTAGACTCAGGAACGATTGACAGTTGAGAGGCGGGACCAAAGAGCCAGAGCTCAACCCTCGCAAGCACAACTAGGTGAGTATAACTTGGTGAATACACACAGGGGGGGGGAGGGGGGGCAGCGCTCGGGTGTCGTAGTCCTAAGGGCCCGGGTTCAATTCCCGGCGGAGGCGGAAACAAATGGGCAGAGTTTCTTTCACCCTGATGCATCTGTTCCCACAGCAGTAAATAAGTAACTGGGAGCTAGACAGTTGTTACGGGCTGGTTCCTTGGAATGTGTGTGTGTGTGTGTGTGTGTGTGTGTGTGTGTGTGTGTGTGTGTGTGTGTGTGTGTGTGTTAGACATAATAGTTAGGAAAATGTGTTCGACGTATTATGTGTAGTAGACATAATAGAGGAAAATACATTGGTTAGAAAAGAGGGGACCAAGAGCTAATAGCTCCATTCTGCAGCCACAAATAGTAAACACACAGACATGGTAATTACACAGCATTACTCACTGTTGTATTTACATGGTGTGAGTTGTGGTGGGAGCATGGCGTCACTCACTGTAACGCCGCGGGTGTCACGTCTTGCCCTCAGGCACTCCTCGACACTCATAGAAAGATGGCCTTCATTTATGCCCAAGCAAAGTTTCCCTTAAAAATTGTGTGCAAGGTGAAATTGAAATAAGTTTATTGAGGTAAAATACACACAAAGGGATGAGGTA